CTTCCCCATGGCCAATAAAACCATCAGTAGCTTCTCACATATCAATCTCATAAGAGATAACCTCTTGACACAAATGAATGACCTGTACCCCAGCCCTATATCAACAGTCCTCCAATAATTCCAGTAGCTCTACAATCTGCAAGGCTATTTGCTGTAGTGATGTAATCAAAGTGAATAATTTTCGATAACATGTATAATAATTGTTTGTGGATCAGTAAATTTTGCCACTGTACTATTTTTAATCCTCCTTAAAACAAAGGTGCATTTTTTCTGACGAAGTTATTTTCAGTGAGATAAATGAGTTGCAGTGATGAAAAAGAATCACAGACAGAAAAAGATGTAGAAAAAGCAAAAAACAGTGAAAATTTGGCCCATAAGTAAAAGAGAACACTACCACAAATGCTTGTGCATATAATATCTAATAGTCAAATTTAAACAATTTACACTAGTTCCCAGGCCAAATCATATATGACTAAACATGGAGTCTAAGTGCATCTCCCAGCATCATAATCTTAGGTGCTAAACCAATACAAAATCAAAACAGAAGTATCTGTATACAAATTTATACTTGCACTACATCAGGAATGTTTATATACTCTTATTATGATATAATAATTGTATATGTTTATTCAAACTAAACAGCTACTGGCCTGCCCTATAGTGACATTTTAACATGTCCAGAATCTAGTCATTACATGTGAAAAGTCACCAATAGTGTAAATCACATATCACTGACAGACATAGGAAATATATAATCAGGGGACCCTGACTCAGCATTACAAAGAAGTATCGTTTCACATATTGAGAAAATGAAGCTTGCTGTCTATAAAAGATTGAACAAGCGAAAGCAATCTACTATCTTCTGCTGGCAGACTTAAAATGATTTTGAAATCTGCCCAGCATGTCAAAAAACTGTTTCAGAAATGTTCCTTCCGGTTCATTTTGTCATTTTGCAAATATGTTTGGGGTACCAGATCTTGTCTCATATTTAAATACTGAAAAAATCTCTTACTGCAAATGCATCAACACAACTGGCCTGAGTCTAGAGACCAAACTGTCAATCAATCTGTAAAGTTTCAAGACCATGAAACGAGAAACTCCCATGCAAAACTATGATTCAGTCTTAAATCTTACCTGACTTCTGGATGGAGGACGGATATTGACAAACTTCAGCATAGTCCCTATTACAAGAGCCAATAGATTAGATCACAGCTCCTCTTTGGGGCCCTGGGTTAACCTAAGGGCCCTTTCCCCAGGGACCTACAAGTTTGGCAGAAGTACCTCGATTAAGGAACAAGTCTTTACATTACAGCTCCAAGGTATCTTTCAGATAGGACCCAACACAGTCCAGCAGTATCACTTCAAGTCTTCTTACCAGGACAGAGAGAAGAGCACCTATACTACCTTAGGTAATACCTTAAGTAACTCACAGCACCTAAAGCAATTAACAATTTGTCTTTCTCACTAATCCTGTATACAGCCATTGATTCCATTAGTGTGTTAGTAATGGAATGGAATAAAGATGGAGCGAGAGACATGGGAAGATGAGCAGGTTGAGTATAGAGCAAACATACTTGGTACATATTTGCCACTTTGAACCATTCAAGCAACTGTAAGTTCTAGAACATTGGCTGTCTATCTAAACCTATGCGATTAAAATTTACAGTAAGAGAGTTAAAAGTGATGAGGTGAAACAGGGGTGTGTTCAATTCCTAAGAGAATCTGAAAATTGCCGAAAATTCCATGAAAGCTGATAGTGTATCCCATTTGGTGTAAAAGATGTCACCGACTGTACTAAATTCTATCTGTTACGGTATAACTAAAATGTTTCTCCATCACGCTCCTGTCTGTTGCAATTTTATACAAGTAACACTGTTTACATGGGAAAAGTCATCTAGAGTAGCAAATCAGCCACAGACAAAACCAATTATCATACCTGTGTTTACATTCTAGGTAAATTCAAGCCAGTTTTCTTAAAACAAACTGCAGGAAACTGTAATCCCAGAAGTAATGAGTATTCTAGGTAACATCCAGAGCCCATAGGCTTGATGAAACAGAATGAAAACAGCCAAGAGCTATCAGTGCAAAGAGCAATCAATTCCTTCAAGGGGAATTTAATTATAGAGAGGAATGGCTTCTTTTTGTCTCTACTTTAACATTTTGTCAGGTTCTTAGAAAGTTTTTCCTGAGGCAAATGTACCAATTCCTGAGGCTGGATGGGATGAACAGATAAATGATTTTCAACAACTACCAGGAAATGAGCTTTTATGTATGTTAAATTCTCCATGAAATCTTAGAGTGTTTGACTGTTTAGACTTTAACTGACTACATTTCCTTATGAAAAAAAAAAATCATCAACCTTTGAAGTCAGAAGCTCACAAAAAAAGCTTACTTTAAAGAAACTTGTCCTCTACAATATTTTTCTTTGCCACTGAGGATGATACACTTCTTCAATCCGGGAAAGGGCATATGCTGCCCCTCTATTAACCTGCCAAAGAGATAGCAGGCAAATATATGAAGTTAAAAGCCAGTGGACTTCAGTTCATTAATATCATAAGCACTATAGGTTAACCTTGGTAAGAGAAATTCATCTATCAGGCTCCAAGAATTATAGGCTCCTGGAAAAGCATCTCACATTAGTACAATGTAGGCACACCCAATCTCATGTTTTGACTACTCTCTGAAATTTACAGAATGTTTTGAGATCTTTGTACCCAGTTTAATATCCATCATCCTGTAAGGCTAAAATCCTGGTGTCTTCAAACATGCTACAGATTGACTCAAAATTGTGAAACTGACAAAAAACACCTATTCCTTTCATCATGGCCAAGTTTAGAGAGCTATAAGAACTACTGGGGAAAACCATTACATGCTAGGTTAGGTCCAGAAAGGTGAATACATTAGTGAATCATTAAGCTTCAGATCATCCCATAAGTTTCTTCATCACAGGTGCTGCTGACCTACGGCCACAAATGTCCACCCACTCTGCCAGTGTGGGCACAGGCTTGCTTCAGTGTTCACGAAGGGAGAGAGTAATTACCAATATTTGCCATATTTTTAATCACAGTTTTGACCTTAATTCCCCATTGCTCAGCTGGAGAAGTATCGGTGTCAATCATATACAGGTTAATTACAAAGCTTGTTCCATCTTTATTTTGGATACGTGGTAATGTATAAAACAGAGAAAAAAATAACAAGATCTTCATTAAATCTAATTATAACTTGCTTACAAGAGAGCAAAACTGACAATAAAACTTGCATGATTACTTTCCCATCATAGATAATAATAAAACAATATATTTTGTAATTAATAACATGGAAACTGTGCATTGTTGGTTGATCAGGTAAATGTCTGCAAACCAAGCAAAGGATTAATTTGAACCCATCATGCCTAAGTCTACTCATTAATAATTTTTTTTAAAACCTTCATATTTGTTAAAACATTTAGTTGGCATTAATTAAAAGGGTACAATATTGAGATTGGTGCATGATAATCAGTTTGATGTTTAAAAAAAGGAAAGGACAGTTGCCATTAACCCTGAAACTGCAGGAGAGAGTACAATGTAAGTACAGGTGTATTATTAACAGTGAGACATCAAAGGGTTGCCGTGTTTAAGCCTAATCCCAACACACCGGGGTCAGGAGAGATAAGAAAGATGCAAGCCATTTCTAGGGCACTCAGAACTGAAAATATTACAGTGGCGCTGACTGGAGGGTGAAATCGGAGAGCTGCTCAAAGTATAGAAAATACCATAGACTGTTCAGGAGCAGAGTTATTATCATGAGTGGGTTTGTGACAGTCACTGCCTGGTTAAACGTGCGCCATGTGGCACTGCAGGTGCATGGAAACCTTGAGGATAGGGATCCTTTAAAATGAGTTGTTTATATTTCAAGTTAATGACTGCATAGAGTTTCTTTAAAAAAATAACAGCAGCACAGCATTTGAGTATTTGCCACTTTTAGTCTACCTATATACCATTACAACCCTGCAAAATGAAAACTGAAAAGATTTATTACACACTTCTATAAAAACAAAATGTTGTTTTCTTATCATTAACAACACAGAATGCTTTTATATTGTGAAGTAATAGGACGCCATCAGTTTAAGAAGCATTGGCTGCAGCAAACTAATTACAGGTCATTTTACTTTGAAATTTAAAGGTACTAGAGATGAATTCAGATGGTCTTCTTCAGATGTTCAGAATTTTCCTTATGCAAAATGTTTTTTTTTTTTTTTTTTTTTGGACTGGCTTGGAATAACTGTAAATTAGAAAAGAAGATAATCACACTAGACTCTTGTCTAGTGGACTGACATCAGCGTATACCATGCAGACTATTACTAAAAGTGCCATGACCTGTCTGTGACACATAACAATACCAATAAGCTGCTGTGTGCGTAATCACCAGACAAAGGACACAGTCTATCATACATAGTTTTGATAAATAGACTAACTCCAGGAAGTGAAAACTGATTGCAATTGTAATACTGGATCACACTGGAAATCCAAAGTTATCCTTATCTCTCATCTCTGGGATGATAATAATATAGGTGTGTACAATCAAGTGGTTTTAGTTCAGCATTATTTCATCAACCCTGGACATGGTTACAAGCAAACTAAGAGAAATGAAAACATACAATGTGCACCGTTTTAACATTCACCTTTTGAAAACTGCTCGTTGTATACTATTTAAAAATATGTCTACAGTTTGACTTCTAAAATAGTATCTAGGTTCACATACTGGTAGCTTATTTGTTGCAATATTTGGGAGTATACTTCATATCAAATGAAACACACACACACACACACACACACACACACACGCACACACACTATTTTTCCTTACATTCATCAACCCCAATTTTGCCTTCTCCTTCCCTCTCTCTCTCCCTCCCTCATTCTTCCCCTCTCTGCCATAAACCCCAAACCTTCACCAAAGGAGCCAAACCACTTAAGCAGAACTCTAATATATATATATATTTATATATATATAACACTTACCTGGGATTCACACTGGAAGTGGCACACATATTTACAAACTGGAAAAAAATAACAGAATTTTAAAAATATCTAATGTATAATTTCATCTTCATGCACACATTCCATGCAATTTTAGTGTAACATAAGAATACCTGTCCTACATAATGAAGAAACTATGTAATCCCTGCCTGTATGGTCACACTTCAGCTAACCAAAGCATGGCCAATGTCCATACTGTGGTCATTTATTAACCCATCTGGACATGGCATGTTGCAGCCAATTTGACAGGCGACATTCAAATTATCCAATTACTGACCTGTTGATGAGGACTTTAATGTCCCAACAAATAGGTACCATACATGGTTTAACTCAAGGCAGAGGTGTTTATCTTGAAATTTGACATATTCCATTTAGCATTAATTAAGTGGGACTCTCTTCTTCCCAGTCATTAACAATGTAGACATGGTCATTAGTAGCTTAGTTGGTTTACCCACCCAGTTAGTCTTTGGAAGTAGAAGATATCTATGACTTAGGGGAATTAATGGGTTAATGTAGATTCTATTCTGAATAAGACATTTGCATGTAAATGTATGTTTTACAGTGGTATTTCAAAGTAGCAGAACTACTGGGTGGTCAAATAGTTCTGGGCATTGTAGATCACCACAAATATTTGAAAGTGATACATTGAATTGTGAAACATTATCTACTGTAGAACTGTGCACAAAATCCAAAATATGTATATGTATGATGAATACTTTTTCAATTTTTCCCTTTAACATTTCAGATATTACCTTTACATACACTTCCTTGAGTCCAAATAAAATGGCGGCAAACTTCACAAGTTTTGGGTTTCTTCAACTGTTTAGACTTGAAACTGTGACGCCGGGCAAGCTGAAGGTCGTAGTCAGGCGGCTGAAGAAGAAAAAGAATGAAAACTTTGATGACATAAGTAAAGAATATATAAGCTTACTTAAGTAGCCTTTTATTGTTAAATTTCGAAATTCTTTTTTAAAAATTAAAACATAAAACATTTATAATAAAAATAATCATAATAACAAAAGACTCAATAAATACATTTTTAAACATGAAATACACAAAACTAGATACACTGGTTTATTCTCAACATATTATTTCCCATCTTTTCTTTTCTTCAACTTCTGCATCAAATCCAGAATGACTTTTTACCATGGCATATTGACTACATCAAATATCTACTTCAGTCACCATATCATAACAATATAACATAAACAGGTATGTTTGCCAGGGCAGGTCCATACTGTTTTCATTGCTCACAGTTTGGTAACAGTACAATAACACCTTGCAGTCAGTCAACACAACTTCTTTGCCATCCGCATATTGTTCTTTGTGTTTTACAATATGAAAATCTCCCAGTTAATCTTCAAAGATGAAAATTTGTTTTGAAGTCATTTAATATGCCTGACATTGTTTCAACTGTTCCCTATAAGAGGGAATGTGTAACAAATGAGACATACTGTGGTATACTTTGTTCTACAGCGATATATCAACCTCATTTTGATGTAAATGAAATATATCCAACACTGCACGGCGTTATGTTCATAGATGCAAAGAGGAAGTTTGTCACTATAAGGCTGATTACACCTGAAGTCAGTGAGCTGACTGATTGATTGTTTGAATGTTTTCTTTGATAATCACTTTTATTACAGCACTGAGTTACATGTGTGCATTGATATTTTACTAAAAATGGCTAATAGTAGCTTCCTCTTACAGTGATATAAATCTTAATTCATAAAGTGTTTATGCAACTGTGCACTGGGTGAGCGGAAATATTATTTGTTCGTTTACCATTACTTGCAAAGTGCTGCTTAGAAGCGTCACAAGGGGACTTCAGTTTTTGCATTCACAATCATACAATTATTTAAGTGAAAAGATAAATTTCTTCCATGTGTGATGAATGTATCCATGTGAATGAATGAATTGTACTAATGCTTTAAATTCAATTTTAATTGTTAAAACACCTTGAAAAAGATAATTCCCTGCTTGTCATACCAGTAATCAGAATTGTTAAAAATTCACAGTAACATCTTGCTAAATGCTATCAGAATTCAATCATAATTGTTATTTCTGCCTTTCTCCATGATAAAGTTCCCCTCACACTGCCTTTAATTTTTACTAATATTGTTAAGTGTTCTTCTTGAATGTGTTTTTATAAAAATACTCGGATCTATTACTCACAATGTCAATGTTTATTAGGAAAACAGCCATGCTGCATCCTAATTATAAGAAGGACTTCTGCTAGTCCTTGTAAGCTGAATATATACTACACATCATTTTTACGTAACATTTATAAATACATGAAAACCATTCAAAATTTGATAAAATGTTACATAATAGTTTGCTTCTACCTTTGTCACAATCTATCCATATACAATATACCCTAACCTGACTTTAAAAATGTAACATATAACGATGCTGCTATTGTACTTTAACTGTTATCTCCAAATTAATCTGTATAATCACCCACGCCCCCACCTGTCCATACAAACCTCACCTATCGTGTTGACCCAAAAGGAATTGGTAAAATGATTAACGCATTAATCTCTTTTGAACAAATCTGGATTAATGCATCTGCACAATGCTGCTAGGAGGCAGGAATGACTCCTTCCACAGGACTACTACGGCTGCATTCAGATTGGGTCTCTTACAAAAAGTGTTTTAAGTCTAACTTCGGAAAGAAAGTGCTACTTGCACCTCCCCCCTCCCAATCTTTGCCTTTGTCAATGTTATTTGATCTACTGTTCACTAAATTGGTCACTTAACAGGTGTATGACATATTTTAGATTGCAATAAGCCTTCTACTCCCTGAATTCAAGTTTTAATTTCTGAACTCTGCAACAATGACCAATCATAATTAAAGCAAGGGTACATTAAGATGTGGATTGGGGGGGGGGGGGGGGTTACATAACAGTCTGTACAAAAAAAAAACCATAAAAAACCCTACATGTAAAAACACTTAACTAATAATAATATCACAGAAGACTTAAAATTAGTTCTAGTGCATCACCACACTGTGCCAAATACCTTGGCAAGGACACAGCATACAGACTTACTGGTCACAACACCCTGGCAAAGTCATCTCTCTTCACCAATTCATCACACTTAATAAATCCACCATGACATGTTGTATTTGATTGATTACCAGGCAATACTAACTTGGGATGTTGGCTAGACACTGATAAATATGCAACCCTTGAATAACATAATAGTGCATGGTATATGATGTATGATCACAAAAAGAAAAGGAGTGATGGAAAAGATAGAGGGAGGAGTGGATGAAGTGTGTGTGTGTGTGTGTGTGTGTGCGCGCGCGCGCGCGCGCGCGCGTGTGTGAGAGAGAGAGAGAGAGAGAGAGAGAGAGAGAGAGAGAGAGAGCCATGACAGTAATACAATAATACTGCTACCTCTTTCATACACATTAAAAAGATTTCAGGTTAAGTTGTCTTGGACAAATCTCTTGTCAGTTTTTATCAGGTTTTCTTGCCACAAAAGAGATAAGAACATTTACTTTCATATCATCTGTGCAACACTGTCAATACTGTTACAGGGCAGTCACTGTTTTTGTCATGTAACATACATCATTCAGTGTATCTTGTCAAGGACACATTTATCTTCACTGACCCCCAGATGTCACCAAATACATGTTTAGAAAAAAAAATTGACATAAACCTCACAGGAACACACTTGAATGCATACATCACTGTCAACATACGGTGACAACAATGTGGCCAAGTCTGCCTCTTTCTGAATAGTTGTTGTCACTTAACAAATCTACAACATACCTTCACTCATTCCTCACAGAGGTCACTACAGGGACTGAACTCAGACCAGACTCGACTTAAACCACAAAACCTTATTGCTTAACAAATAACCAAAAAAATTGCAAGACACATCGTTGGTCCCTACGCAGTCTGACCAACTGATGATGTCATGCAGTTCTACCATATCTGGTTCAAGTTAATCTGGTTCCCAAAATCAACAGAAATGTCTGCAACCAAACACCTGTGCCTAGTAGCTGTCACCAAATGGTTGTCACCACTTCTAAGTGGTGCAACATTTTGTGTATGATAGATGATTTCATTAATATACCAAAATTGCATTTTCAGTGGTGGATATCAGTACTGCTGTCGTTACCTGATAAATTGATTCATGGCACTTTGAAGTACCACTGTCATCAAATATCTTCTGCTACATGTACCTCTAATCAATTACTGCAAACCTTTGGAAGTAGTACTCCATGACAAACTGCTTCTGAATAAACCATAAAAACATATTCCTAATTCATAAGAATTGTACTACAGTTCTAGTCTCTTATTACGTACCTACAGCTGTTATGAAATAATTACCCAAAATAACATTTGCAATAAGAGTTGTAATACCTACACAACATATACACGATATGACAACATACATGTGCACCTACATCACAACAAACGAGACATCATTCTCCTAATTTTCATCTCTCTTATTGTAAGACTCCATTACCGACCTGTAGGCCTTCAAGCAGTCACCCCACCTACACAGTAAGCCCACTAAGCCACGGAGGTATGATAAAACCATGACCAGGGTAAACAACACGGTTTAAATAGCCTAGTGTAGTCCTGTGTGTTTGGGGAAAACAAATCCTTCATATACTGAGAGCTGTTCGGTCAACACACAGGCCAATATGGGTCAGTGGAGGAAGGGCTGCAGAGCCGGTTGCGGTGTCATTTCTATACATATATATATGCATATATTTATATATATTCATATGTAGGCATATGTCTATATGAATATGTATATATAATAATGCAATAGTGCTTTACGTCCAGTGTAATGAGTAAACGATGTCCAGGAAGTGCATGACGTGTGGGCCCCTTTAATTAGCAAGCCAAAAGATGTCATTCTAGACTAATATCTAACTCAAATAAAGCTAACAGTTATTACCTTTCACAGTGATGACTATGGTGAAAGCCTACCAGTGAAATGAAAATATAATGACATATCAAGAATATCCAGCCCTGTGGCACTTTTTCTTCCACATCACCAACTTAAATTATATACCTTAAGTCAAATCTGTACCACTAATATGACACTGGTGACACACCTGCCTCAGACACCTGCTTGAAATAGTACACGGCGGCTCATTACACAGCGATTTGAAAATATTTTACTTTTTTTTTTTTCAAATTGTAATTCAGTCCACACACCTCAGTGGTGAGGTACATCAAGCTCTCTATTGTGAAACCTTACCCACCAAATTATATGCATTCACTTCAGTTCAACTTATCTATAAGTGTGAAATAAATCTGTTTAAAAAAAAGAACCACATTTTCTTTTTTTTTTTTTTTTTGTGCAGTTAAATACTTCTAACAGGAGTCACCCGTTGCTGCTCATGCAGTTAAATTTTATATATATATAATTTGCATCACATAAAATACCAGCATCATATGAAGTATTTTACATATCATATGCTATTAAAGCCATATTATATCACTGTTTAACTTGCAAAGAAAGAGGGTCAACGTGTCACAAAGGCATGCCTTTCTCGCCACCCTTTATAGAGATAAATCTTCCTTCTATTGCACATTTGACGTACCTTGACTATATGTCATACCAATTGCATTCCTGTTAAAATTTCAAGGTGGACAATACCAGAACTTTAGAGGGCTGTTTCTTAATTAGATTTTGAGTATCATTTCACAAACAACTCAGACTTGTTACAATTATCATTCGACTTTGTCTGGAAAATAGACACAGGCACTGTGTATCACAAGATGATATGCCTCATACAATTAACTACCCCTACCCCACCCCTAGCCCCCCCACCCCACCCCTGCACCTACATCACCATCACCACAACATACACTAACACCATTCCTCAACATCACAGCACC